CTACTCAGTTGCAACGCTCATGTGCACCACACACGTGAGAGGTGCGTTCTACGTCGTGCTGGCCACCAAGAAGCTGCTTCAGAACACCCAGGTGGCCGAGGCGATCGTGGCGACGAAGGGCAGCATCATCACCACGAAGTTCCGCGTGGTGGCGACGGCGCTGGTGACGAACATGCCCGTCGAGTGCGTGGCGCACCTCGACATCCAGGGCGGCGAGGACGGCGCAGAAGCTGCCGCGCGGCAGGAGGACGCCTCAAGCGAAACGCATTCCTACACGCCCATACCAACTAAGTAAATGAGGATTGGGAGGGATGAATGATGTAGGAGGGGTGGTTGATAGGGTGGTAGGTGAGGAGGTTAAGGTGCAGTGGATGACTGATGCGATGGGGTCGGCCGCCGTGGATCGAAATGTCGCCGAGCCCGTCGTCGTCGTCGTCGTCGTCGTAGTCGTCGTCGTCGTCGTCGTCGTCGTCGTCGTCGTCGTCGTCGTCGTCGTCGCCCGCCGTCCGTCGCCCGTCGCCCGACGTCCGCCGTAAATCGCGCGTCGTGTCAGTTCGGGGTGACGGGCCGCATTAAAAGTTACGGGGTGGGCGACATACAACTCAAAGGAAATCAACGAAACTCAATAGCAACTCAATGATTTGTCGAGGCGGCCGCCGCGCTGGCGCATCGGCTCGCGATACGTCGCGGGCGCGGCAGCCGCATCGACCGATCATTGAGTTGCTATTGAGTTCCGTTGATTTCGTTTGAGCTCAACTTCCTACCCATCCCCCCTCTCCCAGGAGTTCGGCGACGCGTTCGCCTCGGCGCTGTGCGACAGCGCGCTCCTCGCGCTGGGGCGCGCTGCGCGCGCTGGGCCGCGGCCCGACTCCCGCGCGCGGGCCCAGCCTGTGCCTGATTGAACGTCTCCCCTCGCCTCGCCCTTCGTCGTCGTCGTCGTCGTCGTCGTCGTCGTCTCCGTCGTCGTCGTCGTCTTCGTCGTCGTCGTCGTTGTCGTCTTCGTCGTCGTCGTAGACGTCGTCGGCGCAGTCGTTGCAGTCGTCATCGCAGTCGTCGTCGTCGTCGTCGTCGTCGTCGTCGCCGTCGTCGTCGAGGGTCGAGGGTCTTTAATGTTTCTGGGGCGCATTTGGTCCCGCGGGGGACTTCTCGTTGCCGCGGCTGGATCCAGAATTCTGGTCGGAACGCATGCCAGGACAAGTCTGGGGGCCAATGTTTCGTCGGAGGGACGGCCGTCGACGACGACGACGTCGACGTCGCCGACGAGGGGGCAGGGGGAGGAGGCGGAGGGCGAGGGGGAGGAGGATGAGGGCGAGCGTGATAATGATGACGATAACGATGTTGATGCTGCTGGTGATGGAGATGACGATGATGATAACGCTGATGATGACGATGCGGATGATGATGATGCTGCTGCTGATGATGATGCGGAGGAGGGGGATGAGGGGTAGGAGGGCGATGATGAGGAGGAGGATGAGGAGGACGACGACGAGGAGGAGGGGGGGGAGGAGGAGGAGGAGACGACTTACTACTCGCCGCCATCTCAAGGCTCAGGCTGAGGCTGAGGCTGAGGCAGGCTCAGGCTGAGGCAGGCTGAGGGTGAGGCTGGGGCTGCAGGCCGACTGAGGCTGAGGCTGAAGCAGGCTGAGGCTGAGGCTGAGGCTGATGCAGGCTGAGGCTGAGGCTGAGGCTGAGGCAGGCTGATGCTGAGGCAGGCTGAGACTGAGGCTGAGGCTGATGCAGGCTGAGGCTGAGACATGTTGAGGCTGAGGCAGGCTGAGGCTGAGGCCGAGGCCGAGGCCGACGGCAGACTGAGGCTGAAGCAGGCTGAGGCTGAGGCAGAGGCAGGCAGAGGCTGACGCTGAGGCAGGCTGATGCTGAGGCAGGCTGATGCTGATCCTGATGCAAGGTGAGGCTGAGGCAAGCTGAGGCTGAGGCCGCGGCTGAAGGCAGACTGATGTTGAGGCTGAATTCTAAGCAGGCTGAGGCTGAGGCTGAGGCAGGCTGGGGCTGAGGCAGGATGGGGCTGATGCTGAGGCAGGCTGAGGCTGAGGCTGTGACTGCGACTGCCGTTGCCACTGCGACTCCCATCGCGAATGCGACTACGATTGCGAGAACAGCAGAATTCTACAACACGGTTCTCATCTGAATCTTAAGGGGAATGCTTCCAAATATGATCATACAAATCGTTGTTGAGTTGCTTTGCCATGATCATTCATTGGTAACGGAACAATAACGTGCGGAATGGGTAGCGACGCAAGACGAATATGAATAACCTACAAGCAACATATCTTAATACCTTATAGTTCATGAACCTGCGACCGACGCGCGTGCTGAAATAATGCTTGCGGACCTTAGAACAAAGCGCGTGCCATTTTATATGTAACCTATCATAATATGTTGCCTATGTAAGATACAAAAAACATTCATCCTCTAATTGTTCGCAAGATGGCACGCTACGCACGCATGCCATATTAGGGCTCGCGCAACCCTCTGGGTGAGTAAGCCAGGAGTGCTTCATAAGGTCATTGAGCAGTATCGGTGGGACTACGACCGCGGCACCAAGGTGCGGATTCCGAACGTGTTCAAGCTGAAGGTGAAGTTCGGTGCCTCCTCGCTGGGCATGGAACAGATAGTTAATTGACGGCTTAGACCACCCGTTGCGCCGCGCTTCGGGTCTCTCCGTCGCCGGCCAGCCTGCGCTTCAGGACGGGGCCGCCCAGCCGCCGAGGCGGCTCCTCTACAACGAGAGGGCCGAGGAAGAGCGCCAGTGGAAGGGTGGCGGCAAGGGGCGGGCCCAGGGGCAGGCCAAAGGCGCAAAGGGCGGCAAGGGCGGCAAGGGAGCCCAGGGGGTGCTTCAGGGCCGAGGTGGCGGCGGCGGCAAAGGCAAGGGCAAGGGCAAGAAGGGGGAGAAAGGCAGGGCGGCCGCCAAGGCAGCTGCGGCACCTGGGGGGGCAGCCCCGGCGGCGGGTGCAGCCCCGGCGGCGGGTGTAGCACCCGGGGCAGCGGGCGGAGCGGACGCGGGCGGGGCGGGTGGAGCAGGCGGCGGGGCCGCCGCGGCCGGCAATGCCGGCGACGCGATGGCTGACTAAGGGGTCACCCCACAGGCCCGCCCCCGGATACAGGGCCCGACGGGGGCGGGTAGTCGAGCCATGGGCCGTGCATGGAGCCATGAATTCGCAGGATTTTTTAAAGGTCGACCGGCCGTCCCTGGGCCACATCGCGGCCGTTCTCAGGGAGACGGAGACGGAGACGGACACGGGAACAGCCTACCCATCGGTCGTTGAAAGTAAGTGTATCTGGATTTTCATATTCCAATCTACTTTCAGCGCCGCCCGAGTGGCTTCCCCTTTTCCGCATTCTTTCCGGGGCGGGCTGAGACCCGATCTACAGGTTCAGTGCCTTCTCTGCGTCCTGCTTTCACCTGCTCCTCCTGGCCGATGGGCAATTGCACGCCCGTCTGGGGGGGTCCATCGGCCACGCCGGTGGCGAGATGCATCGGCGAAGTTGGGAGCCTCGACGCGGGGGTCAGTGCAGACGGGGGTCAGCCAGGGCGCTGGATCCTGCAGGATCCTGCGAAGGACCCCTCTGGCTGACCCGGGCTAGCGAGTCGTGGCCGCGAGGCGGCCGCGCCTATTGGCTGACCCGGGTTTGCGAAGATCTGCGTTGCAATTTTTGTTTCTGCATTGCAGTTTTTGGTTTCCTGCTGACCCGGGTCTGGATTGACCCGGGTCAGCAGATCCCCGACGAAACGCTGCTCGAAGGAGGGGCCCGCGGCCGCCCCGCAGCCGGCCGTGCCGCTCCCCGCCCGCGCGCCGGGGCCCCCCGCCGCGGGAGTGCGGCGCCCCGGGTGGCTCGGCGGCTCGGGCTGTCGCCACCACGGTGCAGGGCGTGGCGACGACGACGACGACGATGACGACGACGAGGACGACCACGACGACGACCACGGCGGCGGCGGCGGCGACGACGACGACGACGACGTCGACCACGACGACGACGATGACGACGACGACGACGACGACCACGACGGCGGTGGCGGCGGCGGCGACGACGACGACGACGACCACGACCACGACGACGACGACGGCGACGACGACGACGACGACGACGACGACGACGACCGCGATGACGATGACGATGACGACGACGACGACGACCACGACCACGACCACGACCACGACGGCGGCGGCGGCAACGACGACGACGACGACGACGGCGACGACGACAACGACGAAGAGGCCCTGGCTCCGAGGTGGCCCCTGCTTCTCCAGGAAGACCTGGGTGGGCCTCCAGATCACACCTTCGCCTGGAGAAGGAAAAGGTACTCAGGGTACCCTCAGGAGGAGGATGCGGAGGAGGAGGAGGAGGAGGAGGGGAGGAGGAGGAAGGGGAGGGTGAGGAGGAGAAGGAGGAGGAGGAGGAGGAGGAGGAGGAGGAGGAGGAGGAGGAGGAGGAGTAGGAGGAGTTGAGGCCCTCGTCGCCATCGCTGGATTCGCCTCGAAGTTCTAGTCAAAGCGCAGCCTGGGAGAGGTCTGGGGAGTAGCAGTATCGGTCCCGTCTGGCCACCTTTGGGCAGGATCCCCTTTGGCAGCAGAAATCAGGCTTTTTTTCCGTGCCCCCCCGCGGGGCGATGCTTTTGGGGGCTGGAAGGTGCACCACCTGGGGCGGGAATGCCCCCCACGCCCCACGCTCCGCGACATTATCGATGGCACGTTCGGATACCTGTATATATATATATATATATCCATATATATATATATACAGAGAAAGAGAGAGAGAGAGAGAGAGAGAAACACAACAAGCAATACAAAGAGAGAAGGAAACCATACTGACATTATACTAACGCCAGCAACAACAACACAACAAAACAACACAAGGGATAGAGATAGAGAGAGAGGGTGAGACAGATAGAAAGAGAGAGAGAGAGAGAGACCTCGAACAACAACAAACACATCGCTAGTGTGCTCTTGCGGCCATGGGGCTCTCTTCCCCCGCCGAAGCAGGAGGGCGCGGAGGCGGACTGGGACCTCGACGAGGCGGGCTGGCCGCCAGAAGGCCCCCCCGCGAGCCGCCCGTGCATTGGTGGAGCACCGCGTCGTTGCCTGTTCGCAGGGGAGGGCCATGCTGATGAGGGTGATGATGATCATGATGGCGATGATGAGGATGAGGACGATGGTGAAGGGGGCTGATGGTGATGAGGATGAGCATGAGGCTGCACTGGTGGAGTTCCCGGGGGAGGCCCAGGAACCCCGCGGAGAAGGCCCTGCCGGTGCCTCTGCCCTGCCCTCGCCCGGCCCCTCGGCGGACCTCCTGTGGGGTGTGTGCCTCGTCGCCGAGGCCAGGCGCGCCTCGGAAGCCGGGCCAGGACATGCGTCCCGCCCAGCCACCCCGGGCGGCGGCCGTGCGCGAGGGGTACGCGGCAAAAGGGAGGCCGTAAAAAGTGTCTGACAGCGCGCGTCCCCAGGCTTTGGGCGCCTGGCCGTGAGCACGGGAGCGCGCTCTCGCTCTCGGCGTCGGCGTCGGGGTGTTTTGTTCTCGGCGTCGGCGTCGGCATCGTGGATTCCTGCGGTGCCACTCTCTTGCGCCCCCCACCTTCGTCGTCTCCATCGTGGACGCGTCGCGGAGCCCCGCCAGCCCATCCGGAAGCGATGCCCAGGGGAGTTGCCCTGATCGGGGTGGTGCCTCACGGCGTCGGCATCGTGGATTCCTACTGGTCTGGGTGTCCTTGCGTCCCCTCTGTCCTCCCTTTTCGTTTCCATTATTATATCATGCCCCGTCTGCGTCTGGAAGTTTCGAACAACGCGCCAGACGCCTCAAATGTGTCACCTCGACCGTCTCGGGTCCATCTTGTGTTCGGGCGGAGTAGGATGGATAATGACATGGCGATGCCCAAAGCAATGATGAGGATGACGACGATGACGATGATCAACATGCTGATGTTGATGATGCTACTGCTGCTGATTATGGTGAGGATTGGGATAGAGGTGACCATGGCGATGGCGATGGCGATGGCGATGATGATGATTATGATGATGATGCTGATGCTGATGCTGATGATGATGATGATGATGATGCTGATGTTGATGCTGATGTTGATGCTACGGATGATGATGATGTTGATGATGATGATTAGCTGCTGTTGATGCTGCTGCTGATGATGATGCTGATGCTGATGGTGCCGATGATGATGGTGATGGTGAGCATGCTGCTGCTGTAGCTGATGTTGATGATGCTGGTGGTGTTGATGATGATGACGACGATGATGCTGCTGATGATGATACTGACGATGCTGATGATGGTGATGATGACGACGATGATGAACACGATGATGGTGGTGATTATCATAGTCATGGTGGCCCTCTGAGGTGAGGATACTGGTGATGGTGATAGTGGTAATCACGACGATGAGGATGCTGATGGTGATGACGATAATAATGCTGATGCTGATGCTGATGCTGATGGTGATGGTGATGGTGATGGTGATGGTGGTGGTGATCATCATAATGACGAGGAAGATGATGGCGATAACGACGATGATGCTGATATCGTGGGTGTCAAAGGACGTTCAGCGTCTACTTGGGTATAGGCGGGAAGCCGACCACGCTGGTGTGAAGCACCAGCATCGACCTCTCAATGCACTGCGGCGAGTGTTGCTGCACCCCGCCGCGTGCCGCAGCACCCGCAAGTAAGACAGGAGCGACCTGCCCCAGACAATGCACGCCCGGAGAAACCGAAACGATGATGACCCGTGGGCGCCATCGCCCAAAAGTGCAAACTGCCGGGAGGGAACCACCGCCTCAGGGAGCCGCCGTCCCTCCGCTTGGTCGAACGCCTTCTGGTCGTCGTACAGTTCGTCCACGGTCGCTTTGTGCTTCGCCGGCGTGGGATTCGCCGCGCGTGGGGGCCGCCTAGGAGCCGCCGCGCGGAAACCGCCGCAGTAGAAGCCGCCCTTGGGTGCGAACGGGCCGCCTTCGTGGGAACCGCCGCAGTGGGAGCCGCCGGCGTGGGAACCGCCTCCGAGGGAGCGGCTGCTGCGGGGGCCCCTTCTGTGGGAGTTGTCGCCCTGGTAGCCGTCCTCGTTGGGAACTGCGGCCGCGGGAGCCGCCGTGGGTGCCGCCGCTTCGGGGGCCGCCGTGGGGGCCGCTGCCGTGGGCTCCGCCGCCTTGGGAATCGTTTCCGAAGGAACCTCCACGGGAGCCGCCTGGGTGGGGGCCGCGGGCCGTGGGGGCCGCCGTTTTGGGAGCCGCCGCCGTGGGAGCCGCCGCTGTGGGAACCGCCTCCGAGGGAACCGCCGTGGGAGCCGCCTCCATGGAAGCCGCCGCTTTGGGAGCTGCTGCCATGTGAGCCGTGTCCGTGGGAACCGCCGCCGTGGGGGCCGCGGCACTGGGAGCCGCCATGGGAGCCGCCGCCGGGGGAGCCGCCTGAATGGGAGCCGCCGCTGTGGAAACTGCCGCTGTGGGGGTCGCTTTGGTGTGGGGGCCGCCTGGGCGGAAACCGCAGTTGTGGGAGCCGCCGCAGCCGCCGCGGTAGCCGAGGTGGTAGCTAGTGGGATCCGCCTCGTGGTGTTTCCATGGTGGGAGCCGCCGCCGTGGGAGCCGGAGAAACCGTCACCCTCGGAACCACCTCCGTGGGAGCCGCTTCCGTGGGAGCCGACGCCGTTGGAGACGCCTTGGTGGAAACAACCGTCATAGGGGGCCGCTTCCGTGGAAACCGCCGCCGCTGTCCGTGGGAGTCGCTTCTTGAGTAGCCGCCTCCGTGGGAGCCGCCACCCTTGGAGCCGCCGTGGGAGGCGTCGCCGTGGGAACCGCCGCTACTGGAGCCCCCGTCGTGGGAGCTGGTTTCGCGGGAACCGCCGCCTGAACAGGGCCACCCAGTGCCGCAAGGAGGAACCGCCACGAGTGGGCCGAAGTTAAGCACCACATACGAGCCGAAAGGGAAGAGGACGTATTGGCACCAGGTGGATCGGCCGAATCCTTCGACTGCTTGGCGCCGATGTCACCAGCGAGCGAGGGACACCTGGAGCTCGAGGGGATATGCAGGTATGCAGGTGGACGGGAATGCGAGCGTGACTGGCTGCAGCGCCTTTGCCAGCAAGCCGGCTCAGGTGCAGGATGATGATGATGATGATGATGATGATGATGATGATGATGATGATGATGATGATGATGATGATGATGATGATGTTGTTGATGATGATGATGATGATGGTGATGCTGATGATGATTATGATACATGGTCGCTTTGATGTCGCTGGAACATCATTTTTTTCGTTGGTGCAGGCGTGGAGTCGACCACGCTGGTGTGCAGTACCACCATGGACCTCGCAACGCACTGCGGCGAGTGTGGCTGCACCCCGCCGCGTGTCGCAGCGTCTGCGAGTGAGACAGGAACGACTTGCCCCAGACACTACAGGCCCAGAATAACTGAAACGATGACGATGATGATGCTGATGATGATGGTGATGATGATGGTGAAGGTGCCGATGCTGAGTGCTGATGTTGGCTGTGCGGGCTATGATAATGGTGCTGACGCTTATGATTTATGGTCGTGACGATGCACGATGTACACAACGACGGTGATGATGAGTAAGAGGAGAAGGGGAGGAGGAACAGGACGTGAAAGGCCGTCACATGAGACAACTCCCGTTTCCACGTCTCCAGGAGTCCCACAGGGCTTATTTTGGCCGTCTTGGGGCTGTCTTGGGCTTCTGTGGGGCAGCGTTACGGATCCATGCGTGTCCTTTTGAGCCGTCTTGGGCCGTCGTGGGGCCGTATTGGTGCTTTGCTGCACCCTCGCGTGGCCCTGTTGTCCCGTACGGGGGGTGGCATCAGTAGTAGTAGTAGTAGTAGTAGTAGTAGTAGTAGTAGTAGTAGTAGTAGTAGTAGTCGTAGTCGTAGTCGTAGTCGTAGTCGTAGTCGTAGTCGTAGTCGTAGTCGTAGTCGTAGTCGTAGTCGTAGTCGTAGTCGTAGTCGTAGTCGTAGTCGTAGTCGTAGTCGTCGTAGTCGTAGTAGTAGTAGTAGTCGTCGTAGTAGTAGTAGTAGTAGTAGTAGTAGTCGTCGTAGTCGTAGTCGTAGTCGTAGTCGTAGTAGTAGTAGTCGTAGTAGTAGTAGTAGTAGTAGTAGTAGTAGTAGTAGTAGTAGTAGTAGTAGTAGTAGTAGTAGTCGTAGTAGTAGTAGTAGTAGTAGTAGTAGTCTTAGTCGTAGTAGTTGTAGTAGTAGTAGTAGTAGTAGTAGGTAACGCCGTGCCCGTCCAGGCCGTGTAGTAGTGAACCGCTGTTTTGAAGATGTGTCGCTGTCTTTTTCTTTCTTGGGCAATGAAGTATATGTTTCAAAGGTTTAGGTTGCCGATGTTGGATCCCAGAACATAATTTTACCTTAAGATTTTGACACCCGGTTTTCGGGTTTAAGTTCCCCCCCGTCCATACAATCGAGCATGATGGAAGCGAACGCCGTCTCCATCCGGGCCCGCCGTGTTCGATTCCGAAGATATTGCATTGCTTTGCATTGGGTTCTTTTTGCATTATTTTGCATTGCTTGCATTTGGGTTTCTCTATAGATGTATGCTGAGGTTGCATTGGGAGCTTACATCATGATGATGATGATGTTGAAGAAGGTGATGATACTGATGATGATGATGACGATGGTGACGATTATGATGGTGATGGTGACGATTAATATGATGACGATGGTGCGTATGATGATGATGACGATGATGGTGATGCTGATGTATGACGATGATGATGCTGATTACGACGATGATGCTGATGGTGGCCATGATGATGATTATGATGGGGATGCTGATGCTGGTGGTGATTGTGATGGTGCAGGTGATGATCACGATTCATGACGATGATGGTGGTGATGATGATGACGACGATGATGAAGATGATGTTGATGATGATCATTATGATGGTGATGCTTATGATGATACGGATGATGACTATGATGATGATGGTGATTATGGTGATAGTCATGACGGGGACTGAGCAAATGATAACGTACTC